AATTCCTCAACAAAATATTAATGAACCGAATTCAGCAATACATTAAAAGATCATACATCATAATCAAATAGAATTTATTCCTGGGGTGCATTGTTGGTTCAATACCCACAGGTCAATTAATGTAATACATCACAAAAACAAAATGAAAGATAAAAATCATGATTGCATCCGTTGAGGCAGAAAAAGCATTTGACAAAATCCAGCATCAATTTATGATATAAACTCTCAGCAAAGTGGGAATAGAGGAAACATATCTCAGCATAATGAAGTCCATATATGACAAAATGACAGCTAAAATCATATTCAATAGTGAGATGCTAAAAGTGTTTTCCTTAAAATAAGGAAAAAGACAAGGCTGTCCACTTTCACTACTTTTATTCACCATAGTATTGGAAGCCCTAGCCACACAGCAATCAGAATAGAAAAAGAAATAAACAGCATTCAAATTGGAAGGGAAAAAATAAAACTGTCATTATTTGCAGGTGATAGTATACTGCATAAGTTCTGACAATTAAGTTCATAAACTCATCCTAAAAAAGTGCTACATACCTCATTGCTGAATATCACTATGGTTACCTTCAAAGTGCTCCCCTTAGGAAGCTATGCACTGATCCCAGCATATAGTCCAAACTTTCAAAGCAATTTTGGAACTCTTTTTCTGGAATGGCCATCAGAGCTGTTGTTATATTACCATTGATATCCTGAATGTCATCAAAATGTCTTCCTTTCAACATTTCCTTTACCTTTGGGTAAAGAAAGAAGTCATTGGGGGCCAGATCAGGTGAGTAGGGAGGGAGTTCCAATACAGTTATTTGTTTACTGGCTAAAAACTCCCTCACAGATAGTGCCATGTGAGCTGGTGCATTGTCGTGATGCAAGAGCCATGAATTGTTGGCAAAAGATTCAGGTCATCTAACTTTTTCATGCAGTCTTTTCAGCACTTGCAAATAGTAAATTTGGTTAACTGTTTGTCCAGTTGGTACAAATTCATAATGACTACTCTCTCTGATATCAAAAAAGGTTAGCAACATCATTGCAACAAGTTTATGAACTTAATTGTCTGTCCTTGTATATAGAGGGTGCCAAAAGAATATATACACATTTTAAGAAAGGAAAAATAGTGCATTAAAGTTGTAATACTCATTATATACCAATAACAAAGGATAAATACAAATCATGTTTGACTTCTGCAATTACAAGAGGTGCTCAAAGTGGTTACCATCAGACCCTTCTGATTGTGGCGAACTACTGCTTGAGCAATGTTGAACAAAGTGCCCTTTTGTGTCACTGCACATGCCATTTCAAATTTTTCCTGAAGTGCTGCCAGTATAGGTGGTTTTCTACAGTGAACCACATCCTTTAATGTCCCCCATATGTAGAAGTCAAGGGATGTTAAGTCAGAAGAACATTCTCGCATTTCATATACCACTTTCAATGGTCTTGCACTCCTTGAACTACAACCATGCTTCCACCATTTTCTTTGACTGCCCTGCTTGTCGCATGGTGACACTAACATTCATTGATTAATGCTATCTTTTGAGCAAATGTCACACTATGCATTGCTACCATAATTCAATTCAACTTTGAAATGTAATACAAAATAACATCGCTTAAAATGTGTATACATTTTTTGGCCCCCCCAGTAGAAAGAACTCTAATGATTCCAATAAAAAGCTATTAGAACTGATAAATGAATTCAGTTGCAGAACACAAAATTAAAATTGAGAAATTGGTTACATTTTTATACACCAACAATAAGCTATCAGAAAGAGAAATTAGGGGGCCAGCCGAGTGTCTCAGTTGGTTTAAGAGCTCGCTCAAGAGTTTGAGCTCTGAGCAATAGCAGTTTAATTCCCAGCCCAAGCTGAGCTGCCAACAGGTGGCAGGATGGCTCAGCTGAAAAACAAAAGAAAACAAAAAAAACAAAAAAAGAAAGAGAAATTAAGAAAACCCCATTCATAATTGCATCAGAACATAATAAAATATGGAAGAATAAATTTAAGCAAGGAGGTAAAAAAACATGTACTCGGAAAATTAAAAGACTTTGAAGAAAGAAATTGAAGAAGACACAAATAAATGGAAGCATATATCATGCTCATGGATAGGAAGAATTAATGTCATTAAAATGTCCACACTTCCCAAAGCAATATATAGATTCATTGCAATCCCTATCAAAATGCCAATGGCATTTCTTACAGACTAGAACAGATAATACCAAAATTTATATGGAACCACAAAAGACCTCAAATAGACAAAGCAATCTTAAGAAGAACAAAGTTGGAGGGATCATGTTACCTGATATCAAACTAAACTACAAGGGTATAGTAATAAAAATACCATGGTACTTGCACAAAAACAGACACGTAGATCAATGGAACCAAATGGAGAACCCAGGTGGGAAGAAAACCCCTTGCTTATATGGTCATCTAATCTATGACAAAGAAGAGAAGAATATACCATGCAGTAAAGACAGTCTATTCAATAAATAGTATTGGGGAAACAGGACAGATACAAGCAAAAGAAATAAAATGAACCACCGTCTCAACACCATATACAAGAATAAATTAAAAATGTATTAAAGACTTAAATGTAAGTCCTGAAACCATAAAACTCCTTGAAGAAAATATAGTCAGTAAACTCTGACACTGCTCTTAATAATATTTTCTCAGATATACTCTTATCTCCTTGCGCTAGGGAAACAAAGGAGAAAATAAATAAATGGGACTACATCAAACTAAAAAGTTGTTGCACAGCAGAGGAAACCACCAACAAAGCAAAAAGACAACCTACAGAATGGTAGAACATAGTCACCAATGATACATCCAATAAGGGGTTAATATCCAAGATTTATAAAACACTCATACAACTCAATACCAGAAAAACAAACAATTCAATTAAAAAATGGGCAGAGAGGGGCCGGCCGAGTGGCGCAATGGTTAAGAACTGGCTTGGGATGCCAAAGGGCCCCGGTTTGGATCCCACATATGAGGGCCAGTGACACTGCCCTCCACAGCTAAGATGCTGAACAACAGCTCAACCTGGAGCTGGGCTGCCGTGAGTCGCCGGCGACGGCGTAGGCTGCAGCCCCTGTGGCAGTGGGTAGCCATGGGCTACCGTGTGTGGCCAGCAGCCAGCGTGAGCGGCCAGCAGCCGCAGTGAGCGGCCGTCCAGAAGCCGGCGACTGATCTGCCTCACCCAGGAAGAGCGCAATGATGGTGCCAACTTGGGCCAGTGAAGCAACGTCCTCCACAACTAGACTGAAGAACAAAACAACAGCAACTTGTCTGTTTCCCTTCCCCCAATTCCCCAGCACTGTTCCCTTCCTCCCAATTCCCCAATAAAAATCTTAAAAAAAAAAAAAAATGGGCAGAGAATCTGAATACACATTTCTCCAAAGAGACTCAAAAGGTACTCAATGTCAGGAATCAGAGAAATACAAATTAAAACCACAATGACATGCCGCCTCACACCTGTCAGAATCACTATCATCAATACATCAACAAACAAGTGTTGGTGAGGATGTGGAAAAAAGGGAACCATCACGCATTATTTGTGGGATTGCAAGTTACTGCAGTCAGTATGAAAAATAGTTTGATACTTCCTCAAAAAATTTAAAATAGAACTACCTTATGACCCAAGAATTCCACTTCTGAGTATTTATCTGAAGAAATCTAAAACACTAATTCAAAAAGATATACACTCCCCTATGTTTACTGTAGCACTATTCACAATAGCCAAGATATGGAAGCAACTGAAATGCCCATCAATAGATGATTGGATAAAGAAGAGGTGGTGCATTTATACAATGGAATAGTATTGGAACCTAAAAAAGAATGAAGTCTTTCCATTTCAACAGCATGAATGGACCTAAAGCATTATGTTAAGTGAAATAAGTCAGACTGAGAACAACAAATATCATATGAACTCATATGTGGAATCTAAAGAACAAAATAAGCAAACAAACAAAAGAGAAACAGACTTACAGAGAACAAAATGAATTGACGCCAGATGGAAGGCAGTATGGGGAGGGGGAGAGAAAAAGGCAAAGGAATTAGGAAGTACAAATGAGTAGTTATAAAATATTAATGGGAATGTAAAATACAGCATAGAAAATATTCAATAATATTGCAACAACTACAGTGCCAGGTGGGTAGTAGACTAATAGAGGGGGATCACTGCATAAATTATACAAATGTTTAACCATTGTGCTGTACACCTGAAATACAAAACAATATTGAATGTCAACTGTAAATGAAAAAAATAAATATTTTTTAAAAGAAAAGAAAGAAATATGCAATTTATTTTAAAGAGAGGCTTAATTTTTATGAGAATAAAAAAGATTAAATAGCATTTATTTCTGTGCTGTTACAACAGTATAATCAAAACCTGAGTCATGCATCTGAGGATATGGCTTTATGAGGGTGATTTCACAATCCTGAGGTATGCCATTCTAATCTGTGATGAGAGAATCATCTGGGCCTAACATGGAACCTCAAGCTTCTCTGTTTCTCATGTAATTAGATGGTTAGACTTGTTTATTTGATTATTTAGATCACCACTGTTCAAATACATATGATGGTGGTTGAAGTATACTTTATATCTCAAATCAATAAAGTTTTCCCATTAATACATATAATTGCTCCTGCATGGAGAAGAATTTGTTTGGAAAAGAAGCACAGGGGAATCAAGAGATATCAGTATATTAAAGAAGGGAAAAATGATCATTTATTTAAAAAGCCAGGAAATTCCTAAGATTGTAGCTATGGGTTTCAGTTATGCTTTGCTCAGGAATAGGAGTTTCTTTTCAAGAGATAGTGTAAATTGTTAAGATGTGAGGATCACAAGGCATCAGGCTCATTACCCGAGAACAGATTGTACATAGTAGCACTTTGTAATAAAAAAAGTCTCATTAAGTTGCATAAAATTAATTATATTCAATATTATCCTTTTTCAGAAAACTGACTACAGCAAATATATAAATTAAAACATGAAAAACATACCAGATACGGCAAGAAAGTCATCAATGCTTGTAATGTCATCCACAGCTTCTGTGAGCACATGGATATGATTCTCCCATGTGCGCTTGTACATTTCCATGTTTTTTTTAACCACTTGACTTTTGGGTCTTGCAGCCAAAGCAAGCGCAGCATTAATAACCTGTAAAGACGTAGAATGTTCACACAGTTATTTCTTTGGGAATAGTTGCCACTGTGCAAGTGACAGTTATTCTTTTAAAAAATTAGATACATTCATCTTTAACAACATGGAAAATGGTAAAATGCCATCAAGTGTAACTCCCTCTTTGCTTTTGGCAATCATTTTATTTTATTTTTGGGAATAATTTAATTAACTTTAGAGCTGCTTATTGAATTTCAATTCACTAAGAACTGCAAAAGATTCAAAGAAAGTTGGTATCTGTCTTTAACAAGCTTGTATATTAATCAACGGAAAGGGCAACATGTAACCATAACTCAATTCACTATGCAATATATGCTATAAGCACAAATAATGGTTAATAGTCTTTAAAGAACAGAGAGGTTGCCTTCAGTAAAAGTTTAAGGAATAAGAGTTTTGACTCCCTTGAGAATTTATAGAATTTTATTAGTAGGTATTCATTATTCATTCATTCATTCATTCATTCATTCTTCATTCATTTGTGCATTCATTCATTCAATATTTCAAATATACTTTGGGTGCCTTTTACGTATCAAGCATGGTTTCAGGTTTTAGAGATATGGTAATAAACAAGATACAGGCAAAAATCATCACCTCCATGGAGCTTACGTTCCAGTTAGGGGAGACAGTCAAGTAGCAAGTTTAATAAGTAAAATATATGATCTGTTAGATGATTATAAGAACTAAGGAGAAAAAAACAGAGTGAAGAAGGGGGATAAAAGGAGTGGTGGTGAGGGTAGGAAGTTTAGAATTTTAGCAAAATTGAAGTGGACATTTAAGTAAAATCACTGATGAGAAAGAATGTTGGAACAGAGAAGTCAAAATTCAATAGGTTAGAAAATAAGGGAGATGCTGTGAGAAAGAGCAGCACTCTCCCCTAGAGCCTGGGTATGCAAAAAGGATGAGCAGGACCATGGCCATATTTGGAAGGCATCAGAGAGCCATTTTGACTTTTGAGCAATTTGCTCAGAATTACACTTTAGAAAAATTAATTTGGCACAGGAGGCGACTGCAATAGGTTACAGGAGTAAGAAAAGCCTGGCTGCAATGGTGGAGGCAATGAAAAGGCTTTGATGGGACTAACTAAAGGTGACTAGAGGTGGATAACCATAGGTCAATGATTGCCAAAAATACCATGCAGGTGTTAACAAATTTGTGGATGACAATATTTAAGGACATGGAAATACATCCACAACAGTGCAATAACAATAGATCACAAAACATTATGCTTCATTGGATACCATTTCTAGTAAACACGCAGGAAATAAAAGTTAGATGAATACATGCAACAATTTGCATTAATTCTCTCAGAGTGGGGGAATTTCCAATGCTTTTTAATTTTATTTTGTGTGTGTAACTGAATTTTTCAGATTTTCTATGGTAAATACATTTCAGTTGTACATTCAGAATAAATGAAGTTATTCTTCAAATAAACATGATTATGAGGGCTTTTCTATGAGTAATGGAGAGAATTATTACAGTACTGAAAGAAAAGGAGAGGCTGGAGAGTTAAAAAGTCAGTCAGGGTTATAGAGGCCAACGTGTGTATTTGCTTTGGAGGATGATATTGATGAGAGGTATTAGGTGAAAACTTTCCTGTCACAGATGTTGACTTTGAAGTGATTCTTGGTTCCTCATACAAATTACATAGTGGGCAATCTGAGAACTGGAATTGGAGTTTATAAAGAAGTTGTGATTCATTTGCTCATTCATTTGTTCATGCATTAAAATAAATGGTTACTATGTAGCAACAGTGGGTCAGGTTCTGCACTGCATACTGACATTGCAATGAAAAAGGTTCCAGGATAGTGTCTAAAACAGCCCATCATCTAATAAGGGAATCAAGGGAAAACCAGGCAATTGCAACACATCAGTGATTCTCAGAGGTTAGCCTGTATCAGATTCACCTTGAGGGCTTGTGAAACCACAGTTTTCTGAGCCACACCCTGGAGATTCTGATTCAGCTGATGAGTCCAGTGGCCTGAGAATCTGCATTTCTAACAATTTTCTAGGTGGTAGTGATGCCACACTGGTGGGGCTCCACGCTAAGAACCCCTGCATTATATGAAATGCTTTACCATGAAGGCTATTGAAAAGGAAAGCACAAGATGCCCTATAACAGGTGGGAGAGGGGCCCAGCTAGATAAGGAAAGATGCCCCAAAGTACTGAAACCTGAATAATAAATAGAAATTAGCATCAAGTGCTACGATTTGGGGAAGAGGCTACAATACATGCAATGACCTGGAAGTGATCTAGAGCCTAACCCCACCTCCTGGGGAATGTTCAGAAGAGAGGAGGTAGTTATAGAGCTGGAAGAAAATCAAAGGAAACAATGGAAAGAGGGAGGAGAAAAAACACCTTTGGAAAGTACCCTCAAAGTACAAGTGATCAAGATGAGAAAAGGAATCAGCCAGAAGGAGGTAGAAAATTAAGGTATTAAGAGTCAAGCTGAGAAAAAAAATTTTTTTTCAGAAGGTCAAATATTATAGGAGAGTCAAGAATAATGAGCACTAAAAATGGCTTTTTAATCTGGAAAACAGGAGTCATTGGTGTAGCGGAATGTGAGATACAGGATTCAGAGCTCACCAACATACAATGGAAACAATAAAAAGAACCTTTTCCTACTAAGTAACCTAAAGGCTGCACCTTACTTAAATGACTTCCAACAAATTACTGGAGGTAGAGGAGGGAAAAAAATCTGTGTCTTGAAAATATTATGTTGATATTCTCATCCTTATTTCTTTTTTATGAAAGAGAAGCACATTAAATTTTCAGAAAACACACACTACTTTTAGAAATAACTGTACAGCACTCCTTGACTTCAGCTTTAGAGTTTTATGAACCTATTAACGTACAATGTATGTGTGTTTATATTGCAAGGCTCTGGTCTCTGGTGTTTTATTGTCCCTGCAAATGGACAACTGTGTACACATGTGCTTGTGCTGAAATTATGCCTTCACAGAGAAGCATGCTTGTAAAGCAGGACTGATGCACAGCCCTCACTGGAGATGTGGAGTCGTGACTATAAGACAGGCTACAGTTTTAAAGAACATTTTCAGTTTAGCTGCTGATCCATTTTAGCTGATTCAACACTGCACAGTACGAGAAAACTTCATCCTACTTGACTTTCTTAATATTTAGCTTAAATCTAAAAGCAGACACAATTCAGAAGATGTGCTAACCCTCTTTAAGGCAGAAGAAATTTTCATCCCCACGTTGCACTCCTAGCCTTTAGCTGTATATCTAGAGAGGAAAAAAAAAATTCTGAAATCCTGTTCATGCTAACTACAGGTGACTGAAAGAGTTATGTTGCTTTCCGAGGCTTCTTTTTTGTCCTTTTTTATACATTGTGGTTGAAATGTGTACACCTCAGAATCACCCTTGACCCTGTGAGTCACCTAATCAGTCATTTCACCTTTGAAAGTTTCTTTAAATTTCATGACCATGTTATATCTTAAAGCAGCAGTTCTCAACCTGTGGGTCACGACCCCTTTGGGGGTCAAATGACCCTTTCACAGGGGTCGCCTAAGACCATTGGAAAACAAAAAGATATTTACATTATGATTCATAATAGTAGCAAAATTACAGTTATAGAGTAGCAATGAAAATAATTTAATGGTTGGGGGTCACCACAACATGAAGAACTGTATTAAGGGGTCGCGGCATTAGGAAGGTTGAGAACTGCTGTCAAAGAGACTATTTTTATAGCCTTCTGGTTTCCTATTCCAGTCCCTATTTAAGCCAAGCCACTCTCCTTGCTACAAACACATTTCTTTTTCAAATACAGAAGTGACTGTGTGGATAACCTTTGTTACAATCTTCTATTGATAATCTTTGATAGAATCCCAGTTAACTAAAGATAAAATCCAGGTTCCTTTTCACTGATTCACAGTCTAAAAACATCCACAGGCCAGCCCTTACCTACAACTCACTTTGCTGTAATAACCTCCCTCATTGTAGCCTATGTTCCAGCCATACTATCTTCAGCCCCATTTCCTGATCACATCATGCATCTTCATGCCTCTCTGACTTTGCTCTCACAATTGACTCTGCCTCAATGCCCTTGGCCCATTCCTTTCCCCTCTCTGGTCCATCTGAGGAAACATTTGTTATCTCTAGCAAACCTGTTGAAATGTCACTGCATACTGTGAAACCTGCCCCATTCCCTATCCCCAGGAAACTGACTTGTCCTCTGTTTAAAAGTAGTTTGTCCTTATGACTACATAGTAGTTATACCTCATGACTGTGACACATGTCTGCTCCATCTGAGCCTATTCCTATGAGGGACTGCGTCTTATTCATCTTTGCTTCTTGGTTTACTAAGCATGTTAACCATTGCTACCGCTATAATCATAAATGTCCCTAAAAGATGCTACTCTACTCATAGTCTGCTCTGAGAGGACAGCCATAGGAAGCCAAGTTTGCTATCATTTTCTTTCTCTTTCACACTGTTTAGATCACAGGCTGGCATCCAACTGAGGGACTGTCAATCTATTGGTTGGCCAGGGATTGGTTATGGGCATGATGTAAAGGTGGGGCTGTTCAAATCTCTCTTAAAAATTTGAACTAGAACTCATAGAGAAACAGTTAATTAGCAATGGAAACTAAAGCTGAAAAAATGTATATGGAGAGAAGCCATCTAGTAAAATCAGAACCAGAGCGGGATGGTCAAGTTGAGGCCACGAGGGAGCTAGCGCGAGACAAAGTTGAAAGGAAGAAGAAACTGAGTAGACTGAAGTTATGAAGTAAAAAAAAAAACACACAACAATAACAAATACTATAGAGTAAAATAAGCCAGTGGATTGAAAGAGAAGAATGCAGAAAATATGTAAAGAGGGTCAAAAGCACCAACAGAGAGAAAACAGTACTCAGAGATCAAAAAAGAGCTGGGACTTGACTTTTTTTGAGAACATCCTATTGTGGGTTAAAAGTCAACAGGAAAAAAAAATAGCAATAATAATAAATACTAACACTCAAAGTC